GCATCGTCATGGAGTGAAGAACGTCCAACGGTCCCTCGGCGCTGTTAGGAATCTCGATGTAGCTATAGGAAGTTCCATAAAATTCGTAGGAGCCGTCCTTTTCCCCGTTGGGCCCGGGAGCTAAATTAACTCCACTAGGGACCACATTGGCTACCCTGTTGTTGATTTCATTGGTACCATAGGCGGCATTGAGGGGAAACAGTGCAACAGGATATGGAACTTAAAAAAACAAAGAAAAAAAAACCATTACTACCAGCTTGACTTGCTTATTTACAACCATTATTCGGGTTGGGTCTCAGTCCATGCCCATTTCAAAGTTATTTGTCCAAAAATATTAGCGGAGCCCCATAGCTAAGAAAATTTGTTAATCTATCCATCTGAGAAACTTTGGTAATCACGTGACCGTAGGTCCGCTCGTCCGTCCGCACCACAGGGAAACCAATGTGAAATGTTTCTAGCTAGTGCGAAATGTCTGAGTTGTTTTCGAAACTTTATAAGAGCCTAGTACTTCCAATACTCGAGTACTGCTCCCCAGTATGGTGCCTGCACCAAACAGGGACTTAAACATAGAAGTTACAACATAGAGCATCCAAATGTGCCCTTGGAAACTTTGGGCGTGACATGTCCTACGAAGAACGCCTAAAGGTCCAAAAATGGCCAGCCCTTCAACAAAGAATATTATTTTCTTCGCTTGCTGAATGTTGTAAGACAATAAACCGTCTAAATGGACTAGATCCTTCAAAATTTTTTATGTTTGGACGCGATTTTCCTCTGTTTCTGACTTAACCACTGTTTCAAGACTTAACCACTGCGACTTTAACATTCGTTTTTTATTCGCATAATTGATGAATGGAATAACTTACCTAAGGAAATCGCTGAGGCGGAAAATTTGATCATTTTTTAAGAATAGACTCAGACGTTATTTTGCCAGTGTTTCAGCCGACTGTTGAATTATCAAGACATTTCTGGCGGCAGACTATTTTACGTATTTTTAAACAGAATGTAAATTATTTATATTTTATTTTATACATATTTATTTTCTCAATGGAATAAGTACGTAAAGCACGATTATGTTATTTGCAAAGCGACATTAAGTAGAATCGAGTCCCTGCAAAGTTGTAAACACTTTTCAGGCAATAGTTGTGTGTTTTACCTGATATTTTACTGTCACATAGCAGCCTGTCATCTCTCTATAATTAGAGCATATGCGAAGAACATGAGAATGATTATACGTAGAAAAGTGCTTCTTTTTTACCGAATGAGCCCATGGACAAAGAACGTGCCATCATGAGAGAGTCATGAGAGACATTCCACCGATCTTCAACGAATTTAGAATGCTCCTTTGATTCATGTGCAATAATATATGTTCATTGTTATTGTTCCGGTACTTTTTTTTAGTTTTGGAGATGAACTAGAAATAAGGTTCACCTCTTCATCTCCTTTTCAGTTGTGGCAGCCTGCAAAATGATATTGCACATCCATGTTGTGGTCAATTGACAGCTGTTAAAACAGTGTATCCGCTGGCCAGTATGATATGAACGTATTGCGAGCTCAGGTGTGGACCCATCGAGGTTACGTGTGTTTTTTGAAGTCCTCCGCTGACAAGTTACTCGTTTTCAATTGATCGCAGGTTCAATTTTAAAGATTTCTTTGCAATGGTGACAAGTTTATTTTTTATGTAAATTATAAATTTTTTTAACGGGAGCTTCGCCTTTAGCCTTGGCTAAAATTTATCTATTGCTTTAGGTAACGCATTTTATTTCTCTCAGTCTTCGTCATGAGCTGAGTCCGTAAATAACATCATGATACTAAAAGTCGCCACTCCTTTGGTACTGTGGATGAAGGTAATCTGTAAAAGCTGATATTGCTGTTTAATGCGGTTCTTATTTTTGATCTCCTGATGAGATCCTGAAATGTGAGATTATTTGACTAGATTTCGGGGTAACTGACCACCTAAACTTGCAGGATCTTCTTCAACAAAAGACAACTGCTTGTATTTGACTAGTCCAGTTCTGGCCCCTTTCTCTCTCGTCACGCAACGCCTCTCTCCTGGAGTTTAATAGCATTTACAGACAGAAAGAATATTCCAGGTATCTTGATTTTCATTGACTTTAAAAAGGCTTTCGACTCCTTAGAATGGCATTATCTTTTCAGTTGCCTCGAGGCTTTTAATTTTGGCCCCAATTTTATAAATTGGGTCAAAATGTTTTGTACAAATATTCAAAGCTGTGTAATAAATAATGGAATGGCATCAGACTATTTTACTTTAGAACGTGGTGTGAGGCAGGGTGATCCCTTGTCCCCCTACCTCTTTATTTTAGCTGTTGAAAGCTAGGCAATGTCCATTCGTCAAAATGTTGATATCAAAGGAATTAAAATAGAAAATCATGAAGCCAAGCTATTGCAACACGCAGACGATACCACAGCAATCCTGTCTGGTGAAAATTCTTCAAAAACGTTATTTGAAGAACTAGAAGTATTTAAGAACTTCAGTGGGTTGGAGATAAATAGCTCGAAAACAGAAGGAATTTGGATTGGTTCGCTTAAAAGAACAGATGAAAAACCGTTTGGTCTTAAATGGCCCAGTGAACCCATAAAAGCTTTAGGAACCTTTTTTACATATGACCATTCATTACTTTACGAAAAAAACTTTCAAGAGAAGGTTGACAGCATAAAGAAGCTGACAACTATATGGTCATCTGGAGGACTGTCCATTTGTGGTAAAGTAACTATAATCAAATCATTGCTTATTCCAAAACTAGTTTTGATATCTTCGGTTCTTTCACC